AATATCCTACTCTCAAAAACTAATAAAAGAATTAGAAAAAGTTACAGTATAGAAAACTTGAACAACTATCAGCCAACTTGACCTAACATTATAGAGCCTCCACCAAACAGTTCCAGATACAGAGTCTTTCCAGGCACACATGGAACAATCTCCAGGATAGACACAAACAAGTCTCAGCAAATTTAGAAAGACTGAAACCATATAAAGTAAGTGACTGACCACCATAGAATTAAATTAGCTATCCACAGCAGACCCGTTCTTTGTCTGGGGCTTGCTTTCCCTTTCTCTTAGAGTGGTAAATCCCTCAGGCTCAGGGTTCTTGCCCTGTAACAACCTGCTGCATGTGCAGGCATCCATCCTGGGCCCTTGGCGTTGCCTTCGTGGGACTTGGGGGGTCTGGGGAGCTGAGGAAAACAAACAAGAGGCTCTGGCTGCTGCCAGTGTCCTGAGTAATGAAGGTCTCTGTCTCTGATGTAAGATTTGTCTTCATCAGCATGCATGAAACAGTAATAGGCTGTCCTGTTAACTCATAAGTAAAGTAAAATCTCAGACCCTGCCTAGTTCTTGACAGTTTCCTTTAGTTCTTTGAACATATTTTAATAGCTACTTTGAAGTCTTTGTTAAATCCGTTATCTGAGGACTCTCTGAGACATTTTGTATTGACTGCCTTTTTCACCCCATGAGTATGGGTCACACTTTGTTTCTTTGCATATCTCTTCTTTTTTTTTGTTGAATGTTGGATATTTTGATAACGTATTGCAGCAACTGTGGCCTTGACTCTTTCTCTCCCCGGCAGTTGTTCTTTGTCATTTGTGTGCCAGCTTTTCTGGACTAAATTACGGACGTGTCTTCCCTCAGTGTGCGGTCACTGATGTTTCTGCTTAGCTTTTGTTTGTTATTTTCTTGTTTCTATTTGTAAGCCTTGTTTGCTAGGTAATCGCTGTGTCTGTATAGATTAGTGCGCAGCCAAATATCAGTCAGAAGTTGTGCTCAAACACCTCAAGCCCATAAGCCTTCTACTCTCAGCTGATGGATCTGTGTCTGGTTTGGGGAATACATTCAAAATTCAGGTCATTTTTTAGTCTGTCCCAACTTTTGTTTCCTGCCAGGCTCTCCCACTTGTTCTCTGAACACACACACAGTTCCGTTGGCCAGGGGTGTGTGGGTGGCCTGGGCCTGCTCCTGTCTCTGCTGCACATACACATGGCTTTCAGTTAACCTGGGACATGTGGAGAGCTTATCAAGCCGCCTTATCACGTTTGCACCTCACCAAACTCCTTGTTAAGTCTCCAGCTAGTTTACCATCCATTGCTTGCCCTCAAAAAGACCAAAACCTAGGGCTTGCCAAGCCACTGGCCCTTCCTCTACACTTGCCACCAAGATTGCCACTTTAACTGACAATGCTCCACATCACATCAGCTTCCTCTGGCAGCAGCAGCAAGCCATTGGTTTCCGTGGCCTCCCTACCCTGGTTGAACACCACCCCAACAGAGCTGGGGGGCTAGGAGCAGCCCCGGGCAAGGGTACCACATATTGGCTCTTCTTACCTGAAATTTGATAGTTTTCATGTATAAATGCTTCTCAGTTTGTTATATGCCTTTGGACAGTTCCTAGTTTTTGTCAGTTTTTTCTCCAGCTTTGTAGTTGCCAAAAAGTTCCCCAAATGGGAAGATTTGTTGGCATCCTCAAACCATCGTGCTAGAAGTCTGAAGTCCCAATCTATATCATCTTGCCATTGATGCTGGTGTAACTTAACTGCCTATTTGGTTCTCTGGGGTTACAAAGACTCTTCCCCTTACCTGCACAGCTAGAACATGGAACAGCACCAATAGAGCCAATCTAGAGATAGTGGGTATAGAAAACTGGGACTACAGTGAACATGGATTTTTCCCGTGGCTAATTAGGAATCATTTACGATGATCCAGCATTATTTATACTTTTATTCTACGTAAAACTGATAAAATACATTGGCAAAGCAAATGTTTATGTAACATCATTATGTAAATATTATTTGTGTACACTGTATCAGCTAAAAAAGTTAAAATGTTGCCTTGTGTAATGAGATTTGGGAAGCATTGGTCTCTATCGCACTAACATTCTCCCAAATTTTTCTTCCACTTATAAATTCTATAAATATACATTTATTGATTATCTAAAATATACAGAGGCATGGTGAGTGATTCCCAGATGAAGCAGATGCAGATTTTATCCTCAAGGAGCTTTTAGGTTAGTATAAATGATACAGTGTGAACATAAAAAATGTAGGTGGGACCTGCGGGCTCCACTGAAGAGTTACAGATGTGTGCTATGGACGGGCACCGGGCTGATTCAGTCCCCGTCTGAGTGATTCTCTCAGTAATCTCCATTGCTTCCATCACCTCTCCTCCCTGCTGATATCCCCCTCAGTTGTCTTTCTACTTACATTCTTGTGTCTGTCACCCATGCAGGCTCACCGTGGTGGCAGCGTGGATCTAGTGTTTCCACATGCACTTGTCTCATTGATACTCATCTGGTTCCTGTCAGCCTGGGACATGGGTAGGGAGCATTATCTGTTCCAGTTTATAGACAAAGGAACTAAGATCAGAGAGACTAAGTGACTTGCCCAACTTCACGTTATTAGGAAATGGCAGAGTCAAGTTTTGAACATAAGGTCCTTATACTCGAAATCCTGGGTTTTTTCCAGTATGCTGTGCTGCCTCTCACACTGCAGACTCTCTCTGCGGCCAGCAGATAGTTGGGAAAAATTTAGCTTGGTGAGTTGGGTCAGACTTGGAGGCAGCTTAGTGTGTTTCTGGGCAGGCACAGAAATGAGGCAGCAAAGCAAGACTGTGTTCAGGCTACTTTTTGAAGCATTTCCCTCTGAGGGTTTTTAGTGACTTTTAATTTTACGAAACTCGGAGATCCACATTTCCAGTTGCTTCTTATACATTTCTCCTGTGAATGTTGGATCATTACTTTCAACACAGCATGTTCATCACCAAATTCACCATTTTCCCCTCAATCTGTTCTTTTTTAATAATCCTTTTCTCCATTAATGACACCACCAACCATCTGTTCTCCCAAGTCGGAAACCCGGGAGTCCTTGCCTCCTGTTTAACCTTTACCCCAGCAGCTAATCCTGTCCTTTCCACCCTACCTCGTAGGGCTGTTGTGTGACTAAACTGACACAATATATGAAAAACAACTCTGAAAGCTGTGAATGAGAGGTATTTATTTCCTCTGAGGCAGCACGTCTGTGGAAGCATAGGGGACAAGAATGAGGCCTCAGAGCCCACTCAGACTTAAACTTGCTTATAATATTGACGCTTGCGTCAGTGAAGTGTGGACTTGTAGCTGAACTGTGGCTTCATTGGCTTGTGTTTTGATAGAACTCTGCACTCTTACAGGCAGTTCCTCAAAAGGATAGGAAAAGGAGTGGGTGAGAGAGGATAAGTGATTTGCCCAAGGTGACACACTTAGCAAGTAGCACAACCGGGACTAGAACTCCTGTTGGTTAAATCTAGAGGCCTCTTAAACTAAAATCCAAGGTTGATTTTAAAACTTGACCACTTACTACATGTGACCTAGGACGAGGGATTTAGCCCTTTTAAATGTCAGTCTCTACATATGAGATAGAGATATAATGACAGTGCCCATTTCATATCATAGAGTTGTAAGGATTGAACACATCCACAGAAATAGCCAGAGCAAGGTGCAGAAAGTGCTCAGTAAATGGTGGCTATTGGATCTCTCTTTTCCCTTCCCCACCTATCTAGAAGCTTTAGGTTGGTCTTCCTCTGTCCTTTCCCCTAGAGAATTTATTCTATCTAGCATATTTATTTAGACTGCCCCACTTCACATTGTCTTACAGTCTGGAAGATTGTCACAGACATTTCCAGGAGGTTGTTGCCCTACTGTGTCATTGAAAACTAGGTCCAGAATTTCCGTGTTTTCCTCGCTACTTCTTTTCTACTAATTTCCTCATTAAGGTTACGACACAGTTCTAATGAACTCCTTTAGTTAAAAATTGTGAGATTACGTTTATACTTTCTGGCCCCAGGTGAAGGAGATTTTAGGTTCAATATGAGGAATAAACTTCTAAAATCAGAAGTGCCCAACAACAGAATGGACTGCCTTAGAGGTAATGAAGTGACCCATGACTACAGATGTGCAAGCAGAGGCTTTTGGCTAGTGGATCTGTGACTTGCCGCCGCTTCCTCTGTCCCATGCAGTCCCTGAGGTCTGCAAGCTGTTGTAACATCCATTGCAGTGAGGACTGTAACAGATCAGCCAACCACATATTGTGTTTTTTGTGACTTTGTAATTTTTGATTCATGATTTTATACTGTCATAGTTAAATGAATTGATAAGATGGCAAATGAACTATAACTTAGTGAAGTGAGGAAGGTTGTCAGACTTCCCTGGGTATTGCCAAGTACAGAGAGCAGAACTTAATATTGGACTGAAGTTGGAGATGTGGCTCTCGAATCTCCTACAGAGCCGAAGCCACGCACAGCTCTGCAGTGAGATTACAGTAGCCTGGGGCCTGTGTTGAGTGTAACTAGGCTCATCCGTACCACACATGTTATTTCATGTTTTGATAAAAGTACGAGAAAATATTGAGGTTTTATCATATATGAGACTTTTATGTGCAAGGTTTGGCAGATGTTGCATGCTGCTTTCAGAATTAAAGAAAATTACTTGCGCACTGCTGTGTCCTTCTGTGAGATGATTTATTCCCAGCTGTCACCTTCCCTGTCCCTTACCCACGACCATTATAGTGCCCAGGAGGTCTGCTTGCTCTATGGTGCTGTGTCTTGAATAGCGCCCATTAGTTCTCAGTAGTTACCCCTGGCCTGCATGTTAGCCTTCAGTTTAATGGCCTTTTTTATGTTCATTCATTTTATTTTGTTTCCCATCGTGGTTTTGTTTATTTCTTTTTTGTTTTTGTTTTTTCTGTTCTCTTTTTTAAAACCGTCGTGGTTTGCCCTTCATATTCCCCAATATTTGCACATGACAAGATGTTGCCATCCCAACATTACCTCCCACTTCACTGACCAGTGCCACTACTGACCATCTAGCACCAGCCACCACGGGACCACTGCCTTCAGCTCCTCGGGATGTCGTGGCCTCTCTGGTCTCTACCCGCTTCATCAAATTGACATGGCGGACACCTGCATCAGATCCTCATGGAGACAACCTTACCTACTCTGTCTTCTACACCAAGGAGGGGATTGCTAGGTAAGTGCCTGTGTGTCTGAAGCCAGTTGGTTGCATCTTGGTCCACCCCGGCCCATTCATGCTCACTGGCTCTTTCTTGTACAGCATCTGTACCAGTTTTCAGTCCAGAAAATATGATCACCAAGATGCATCTTTCCTAATTTAAAAATAAATTCCCAGGGTCTGACCCAGTGGTGCGGCAGTTAAGTTTTCACGTTCTGCTTCGGTGGCCTCAGGGTTCACCGGTTTGGATCCCGGGTCTGGACCTATGCACTGCTTGTCAAACCATGCTGTGGCAGGCATCCCACATATAAAGTAGAGGAAGATGGGCATGGATGTTAGCTCAGGGCCAGTCTTCCTCGGCAAAAAGAGGAGGATTGGCAGCAGATGTTAGCTCAGGGCTAATCTTCCTCAAAAAATAGAAAGAAAAAAATAAATTCCCAAACAGACTGAAGTCCTGGTATTCTTTCCTACTTTTTGGGGACAACTTGGGAGAGGGTAGATAGAGCTATTTAGGTGGAGGTATTAAAATATAGCCAGAGCTACCCTTTTTTCATAAGGTTTCCTCAGCGTAGGAAGTTCCTCAGAACTTTCAGATTACAGAAGTTACAGTAGACTTAAGTTTTTAAAGCAATCTTAAATGAATATTTGCCTGCACCTATGTGGATATGGGCCACTGAGCTCCAAGGGGTCTCCTTAGTGACTAATTTTCCTAAAACAGCATTTTCGTTAAATTCCTCTCCATCTCCATCTCTTTCAGGAACTCACTCACATTGCCTCTCCATTTTCATAGGAGACTTTCCAGAATTTCCAAACTACTTTATCCACAGTCTAGCTTTATCTGTCCAACCTTATTTTCCCTTAACTCACTTTCTAATGATACCTGTCTAATTCTGTCACTGTGCAGCCTTTTTTCTCAGTCTGTTCTCTTCTGTCTCTTCCCCTTTCTCAAGTAAAGCTAACTTCAGTTAATCCTTCTTGGCCCAAATTAAGCCCCATGAAGCCCTCATGAATCTTTCTCCCCCTTTTCAGCTCATGTAGCATTTCTCTTGTATACGTGTTTATTCTACTAATATTGGCACTTAATTATGATAGTACATGATCTTATACTACCACAAGTTGTTACTCTTTTATTTTATGTGTATTTGTGTTGTTTTTACAACCAGATTATAAACTGTTTGGGAGGAACTGTGCTACATGCGCACTGTGTATTCTTAACACTGCTGAGTAGACTCCTTCATTGTGCTGCTACTTCACACTGAAATGAGAAAGCTGAAATATCTGTTTTGGTTAGGACCCCTAACACTGAAATAAAGTTTGTATTTCTACTAGTGTGTTTACATTTGATATATATTGTATTTAGTACCAGACTGGCAAGTTCAGCAAGTATAGGAACCTTAATCAAGTCAAGACCCCCTGATTTAACAGTCTGAGAAGTCTGAGTGACATAATTTGAGCCAGATGGATGGAGCTACTCATAGGATATGTTTATCTGAACACTCTGCTGGATGTTTGGGGAATAACAAAGATAAGGAAACAGAGTTCTAGGCGCAAAACGGGTAAGACATTACTACTAAACAGTATTTGTGTTAAAATGTCTCCAACAGACTTTCAAATCTCATTGCAAATTTCATAGGATTTCATAGAAGGAAGAAAGCATTTAGTAATTCCTCATAAGAGCCAGCTTATTTCCATGACTGGGCCTTCACTGTTGTTGCTTCTACCAGAAGTGTATTTCCCTCACAAATAACTGTGTCTGGCTCTTGACTGTCATCTTCAGATGGTACCTCCTCATGCCTTCCATGAATGCCCACCCAGCTTAGCCCCTCAGTCACTGTTACACAGTGGTGTGCTAGAGCTAGCTTGTTCCCAAGCCAATTGTTAGATTTTGAGGAAATTTTCAAGCCTGATGACATGACTTGGTAGCTCGAAATTGGGCATGGTGGGAGTATTTATAAGTGCTGCAAACCACAGCCAATTGTTCACTGCTTACCGGAGCACCACTGCTATCACATTGCCCTGGGTTGGGTTTATTTTGGAACACTTTACACTGAAATTTTCTCTTTTTATTAACATATTTATTGTGTCTCTCTTGTTCAGTAGAGTATCAGCAGCACCTGGAACAGAGCCTGGCATATAGGAGCACTTAAACAAATATTTGTTAAGTGAATAAATTTCAGTCAGTGGAGAAATTATTTAAGAAATCATGTTGAAATAATTGACTCCATTTGACGGAAGGAATAAAAGTTATCTCTCTGTCTTATATCATGTATAGTGACAATAGATGGATCAAGAGATATTTTTAAGACATAAATGTGTTAGAAGAAAATATAGAAACTGTTTCTTTCATTTGAGTATGAAAGACCTTTTGAAGGAAGACAGGAAATCCAGAAGCCATAACAGGAGACATTGACAAAGTTTATTATATAACAGGGTAAATTCCATGTGATAAAACATCATGTAAGCAAAATCAAACTATTAAGTGGTAAGCTGGGAAAAAATTTGTAACATTTACAAAAGATTGTATTGATATCCAATCTATATAAAGACCTCCTACAAATTCTAAGTAAAAGGCAGATATCCCAAGAGGCAAATGGTACTTGTAGATGACTCATGGAAGTTAGTGGAAAGCCCAGTAAAATTACAAAGGTTTTCACCATCACTAGCAATCTTGGAAATATAAAATAATCAGTTACCATTTTTTTACCTAAGGCCAGCAAAAATTTTAAGTTGATAATATCCAATGTTAAGTGAGTTAAATGCTGAGAAGAAATCTGCTCTAGGCTCTTAGTGGCAGTATAAATTAGAGTAGCCTTTGGAGAAGGTAATTTGGCAGAATTTTTTATCTTTTAACACACATAGCCTTGCTTCCAACAATTACACTTCTAGGCGTCTGTCCTATAGATATACAGATACACATATGCATAGGGCACTCGTATAAAATGTTTATTGTAGCATTGTTTGTTGTGAAGCATTGAAAAAAGGAAACAGTGTAAATGTCCATTGAACGTAAATGTCTGTTGATAAAGGAATGGGCATGTAGTTCAGATATATATATCCATATGAAGTATGATGCAGGAATTTTTTTAAGTGGCTTTTATCTATATATTTTGATGTGTATGTGAATGCCTAAAGCATGATTCTCAACCAGGGATAGTTTGCCCCCCACCTCCCAGAAGACATTTGGCAATGTCTGGAGCGTTTTGGGTTGTCACAACTGAGATGGAAGGGGATGCTTACTGGCATCTGGTGAGTAAAAGGTGGAGATGCTGATAAACATCCTACAACGTACAGGGCAGCCCCTACAACAAAGAATTATCCTGCCCAAAATCTCAACAGTGCTGAGGTTGAGAAAGCCTGGCTTGTAGAGATCTGGTAAGATACAGGTCAGTACATGCCACAGGTGGGCCTCAGGGTAGGACAGGTTTTGAAGAGGGAGAAAAACTCGGACTTGAAATTTTTTTTTAACTATATATACTTTGGTTTTTAATGAAAATCTATCACATTTAAATTTTTTAATTTATGAATCATGAGTTGAAATGAGCAGAGATGATTAATAAATGAAGTTGGAATTGAGAAAAATATGAGAGTTAAGTTGGCAGGGGCAGGCGGACAGAACAAGTATCTATAAAGGAAGAGGAGATGCAGAGAGGACCCAGTTTAATTTGTATGTCTGGTGTTTGAAGAATGGGAAAAGTAACAAAGCTAGCCTAACTGGACTAGAGTTTTTGGTAGAAATTAGTAAGAGATTATAATAAAACTGGAAGTTTGGAGCCAAATGTTGGAATGCCAGTAAGAATTTACACATAATCAGTTAAGAAGGGACCATTTTAGAGTCCTGAACAAGTGTGCCGTGTGATTTTATTAAACAGCTTTTATTAACAGTACTTTGAGGGTACTACACAAGATTAGAGGGGAGAAGAAATGGAATAAGAGAGACACATAGTTACGTTAATCTAGGTGCGTGGTAGGTATGGCTTGGATGAAAGTGGGAGCAGTGTCTTGGAGTGCACAGAATAAATCAAGGGAATATTTCAAAGGAAGATTCTTGGAGACTGTAATATTTTTGTTACCTCATTACTTTATGATTTCTGAATAAAAGCAATGAAGGTATAGAAAGAACACTAAGTCAAAAAACTAGATCCTGGTTACTTGTTTTATAAATAAAATTTATTTGTCCATTGTAAGCTTAAATTTTCTCATTTAAAAAATGAGGATAATAAATTTTCTCCACAAACTGATGATAAGAATTCATTGTGAGGATGTATACCACTGCCTGCATTTACAAATTCCCTTACTTCCTGCATTTGAAAATTCAACCACCAGGTGGCACTATGTGCCTTGGTCATGAGCTATAATTCTATTGGCTACCCAAGGTTCCCGAGATTCCAGAGGGTCCTTCCTCTGCCTTTTCTGCCTTTTCAGCTATGAAATATTCTCCTTTTTTCCAATGTCTTTAATGTGTACGGTAGTACTTTTCTGATTTTAGACATTAAACAGAGAGTATAGAGTAAATTATTCTAGAAATTAATAGTATTTTAGAGATGGAAGAAGTCTTAGGTATCTGTTAGTCTAATCCAGAAGTTGGTAAACTATGGACCCTGGGACAAATCAGACATTGTTTTTATGGCCCAGGAGCTAAGAACAGTTTTTACATTTTCAACTGGTTACATTTTAATAGGTTATGTAAGTAACTACATAATATTTTCCATTTTGCCTCTTGGCCTGTAAATATTTACTGTCAGGCCCTTAAATAAAAACTTTGTCACCCTGGTCTCATGCTTCTATTTAGTATGTGAAGAAACTGAGGCCCAGAAAGACTTGGTGACTTGTGTAGGATCCCCTAGCAAGGTAGTAGCATTGCCAGAACTAGAATTGGAGCTCCTAACTTCTAGCCCAGCGCTGTCCTAATGTGAAGTGTACCTTTTTCTTTCTCTTTTGACTCTTAGTTAACACATTCTAACCTGAGTCCCATTGCAACCTCACACATTTATGAGAATTGTCCTTCATAGCTTACCCTGGATCTCCTGAAGTCAAAAGTTTTTTTCTAGACAGACACTTGGTTCTGGGTCCTCAGAGCAATCTAGTGTTGGAAGCTCTTCAGGTGCTGGGTATAGTTCACCGTAGGGAATCACACCTCTTACGGATGTTTTTTGTTATTGTAATGCTTCTAGAGAAATTTGTTCTAGGTTTTTAGTTCCCTTCACTCATTTCTCCCGTTTTTTCCCTTTCACGTAGAACAACCAAAATGCTATCATTGCTATATAAGAGTTACGTATCAGAAGGCAGATCTCATCCATTCCTTCAGCACACGTTTGTGACGCTGCCTGGTGTATAAGCATTCTGCTAGGTGCTTCTGTTGTGAACAGGAAGGAGACACTCTTTCACGTCAGAGTACAATAGTGCCCCCCACTCTCTTTCTCAGAAAGAACTTGTTTATACTTTTATTTACAGAGTGAGCAAAACAGACCTAATCTGTCTTGTTTCCTGGAGCTTTTAGTTTAGTGAAGTGTAAAAGACCTACTTCCTCTTAGACAACAGTCATTTGTGATCAGTCGAGGAGTCAGTTCCCTCGGTGTAAGAAATCAGTTGATGTCCTTCCTCTAAATCTTGTTATACTGAAGTTTAGCTGAAGAGAAAATACTATCTATAGATATCTCGAGTATCTCTGAGCAATACTTTTGTCACCATAGTGCTCTTTACCAATGGATCTGATTATAGACAAACAACCTCTATAAATATGGCATGGGTACTGTTTTTTAATTAAAGTAGTTTACAGAACTATTGGAAACTGTTGAAAAACACTTAAATCTCTGAAATGCAAAAGATCACATACCATCACACAGATTGACGTATGCTCAACAAATTTTACTCAGTAATTTCAGGGAAAATTATCAATATTTTAAAGTAAAAATTTTTACTCAAATAATATCTTCCACTGAGTAGTTTGGGGTCCTTTTATTACCCTCTTGAGATAGACACAGATCTTTCCTCACAGGATTAACAGTTCTTAAAGGCCAGCTATTTGTCTAGAACAAGTAAATTCCATGACAGTATTTGTTGAAAACTCTGTGTAATGTAATAGGGGTTTTGTTACAGTAAGTACAGTAGATTGAGCATAATTGTGGTCTCAAGTGTGGACACACAGACCCCCAAAATAAAGCATTATTTTTTAAAGAAAGGGATAACTGCTTTTATCTTTTCCTCTCATAACACTAGATGGCTGGATTCATTTGTACTGTTTCTGATTTGTCAGACGCATTTCACATCGGTTTGAAAATTATTCCAAAAGAGTACAATAGTCCCCCCATATCCATAGTTTTGCTTTCTTTGGTCTCAGTTACCCATGATCAGCCATGGTCTGAAAATATTAAATGGAAAATTCCAGAAAGAAACAATTCATAAGTTTTAAATTGGGCACCGTTATGAGTAGTGTGATAAATCTCACACCATCCTGCTCCATCCCACTCAGGACGTGAATCATCCCTTTGTCCAGCGGATACACACTGCGTACACTACCTGCCTATTAGTCAACTTAGTTGTCATCTCGGTTATTAGACTTACTGTCTCGGTATTACAGCACTTGTATTCAGGTAACCCTTATTTTACTTAATAATGGCCCCGAAGTGTGAGAGTAGTGATGTTGGTAATTTGGATATGCCAAAGAGAAGCCATAAAGTACTTCCTTTAAGTGAAAAGGTGAAAGTTCTTGACTTAATAAGGAAAGAAAAAAATCATGTGCTGAGGTTGCTAGGATCAGTGGTAAATTTTATTACAGTCTATTATAATTGTTCTATTTTATTGTTATTGTTGCTAATCTCTTACTGTACCTAATTTATAAATTAACCTTTATCCTAGGTACATATGTAGAAGGAAAAAACATAGTATATATAGAGTTTGGTGCTATCCATGGTTTCAGGCATCCAGAATGGATCTCCTGCGGATAAGGGGATCTACTGTATTCATTTTAAGAAATAAATTGTAGAAATCAGTGTCATGATTAGCTTATTTTATAGACTGCGTTACTTTTAAGCTTCCTGTAAATTTTTAATGTTTTGTTTACAATTTTAAAAGTGATAATCTCTAATTTTCTTTTTATCAAGATCTGTTATCCAAAATATACACAGCATTCTTTGATATTTTCTGTGAAAATTGGTTCGTACATGTAATCACCTTCTGTTTGTGTCCCTGAGAATCACCCCTTAAAACTCAGTGATTCCTAAAGCCTACAAAATTGATGACCAGCTGCCCCATTTGAAATGGCCCAGAATCTGGTCTGTGTCTTCTCTGAAAGGAAGTCTTGCTTATGACCAGGGATAGCAGCCAGTTAGCAGACATATATGACGTTGTTCTTTGCCAGTCTCCATATTCTACTGTGCACTGTTCCACTCCCAAAAGTTTCCTTTTTTGAGAGTTAATTTGACTTAAATTGTTAAGATTTTGAAGTGGTTTGGTATCTATAGGCATTGCAGTGGAAATGGAAACTGCACATTCTCAAAATATTCCTAATTGATGCTCTTTCTTTCCAAATCCCTCTTTGTCCAAAGGGAACGTGTTGAGAATACCAGTCACCCAGGAGAAATGCAGGTAACCATTCAAAACCTAATGCCAGCAACTGTGTACATCTTCAGAGTTATGGCTCAAAATAAGCATGGCTCCGGAGAGAGTTCAGCTCCACTACGAGTAGAAACACAGCCTGAGGGTAAGTCTCCCACCTGTCTGTGAGCTCTGCGTGTAGGTAGATCTGTATGAAGGCCTACCTTACGTGTGCCCTTGCACACCTAGGGGTACAGAAGTACAGTTCCTCACCTTCAAGGTCCTTCTGAATTAGTTAGGGGAGATCAAATTAATCCACATCACACAGTAGCAAGTAGTGTAAAACAGTATAATTCTGCTGATATGTACTCAAATTTTACTGATCCTTTAAGACCTAGCTCAGATACCTTCTAGAATCTTTCCTCTGATCCTATCTAATATTGTATCTCTACAATTCTAAGATACATTATTGCTTTCTTCTTTAAATTCTGATTCTTAATATATCTCATTTATTTCATGGCAAAGAGAGAGTCTTTGTCATTCTTTTTGTTTCCCACAGTGTCTAATATAGTGCCTTACACATGAAGTAGGTATTTAATAATTAACAACTGGATTGCCCTGATCTTTATACTTTCCACGCTCTTCAGAATCTCTTTGAGATTTACTTTGGACCTGTGGTCTTTTGTGCTAAATAGTGTTACTTCCAATTATATTTCTTAAGATAATCTGCAGTTGAAATGAGTGTCAGGTTGACTTATTTTATAAATGTCTTGTATGTCTTAAGTTTTGCTTTTAAAATGTAGGCCTGAAACTGCAAGGAGCAATCAGATCATAATTAATGCTTTTCCCATGAGACTTTCTTCTACACTTTTACCTTCTTTTAACACAAGCCCCTGTTTTTCCTTGGTGCCTTCTCCAGTTTTCTTTCACTATTAACTGCATTAGTTTTCCTGTATTAACAAGCTTCCAATAACAAAGATTTTACTTCAGCATGTGAGATACATTTGTGGAAGCTACTGACCAGGCAATGAAACAGATTAAGTGAATTTAGCAATGAGACTATGGAAATAACTTAAGCACTTTACCTGATGGGAGGAACAAGTAAAGTCAAGAAGTGTATGGAGCTTCACTTTCTAATGCTGTGGCAAATCCTTCACTCACCAAACATTTACTGAGTATATACAAGGCACTCCACACGGTGTTAGAGATGCAGAGGATGCACAAGACAGGAATTCTGCCCGTAAAGAACAAGCAGTCTAGATAGGAGGTCATTGATCATTTCACTGATAGAGCTTAAAGATCAGACATCAAACCCGCGTAAGAACGAGAGCTCATCAGAGCGTCAAGGGCTTGATTTAAGGAAAGAATATGTTCTCATTACAGGAAAAGGATGTTGAATTTCACAGTTACTGTGTTCAGATAAGAGGAGGAACAATCTATTAGATTTCATGCTCAATTTTCCTCCGTTAGCTTTCACGTACAGGCGTCATTCATGACAGATACTGGGATATAGAATAAGGAAAAATTACAGTAAAAGTGAGGTAAATCAAGGCAAGTTCTGAGGAAAAGATGAGACCTGAGGTGGGCCTTGAAGCATTTGGCTTAGAGCAAGCATTCTTGGGGAAGGAAACTGCATGACCCAATCCCCAAAATGCAATCAAACAGTGCACATGCAAGACGAGTCATGATGAAAATAAAAGAAAAGACTACTGGATTGGATTCAGTGCAAGGGCTCCATCTTGGCGCTATGAACCTTCTGAAAATATTTGTGTTTCTGTACCTATTCACAGTTTCCCTGGGAAAGAGCCTGTGGCCTTCATTATTATTTCAGAACTTATGAGTCAAACTGTTGAAAACTACTGGACTAGAAGAGTCATTGTCAATTTAGGGGTAAAAGAAAAGATGTAAGGGACAGGAGATTCGTTGAGTGCCTACCACGTGCCCATCACTGCTAGGCAGTCAGGCTGTAAAGATGAGTAAGACTTGGCTTCTGTCCACAGGGAGCGTATTACAGTCTGGTGCCAGAGACAGACAAGGAAATAGACAGTAGTGCGATGAGCTGTCATCACAGGGAAGGTGGGCAGCGCAATCATTTGTTCAAGGAGTTCGATTAAAATAAAGTAGCTAAATAAGAATATAGATAGAGGGGCAACAGGCGCTGGCGAGGATATTTTAGGGATGGAGAGCGACTGTAGCGTGTTTTGGCGGAAATGGAGAGAGGTTCACACTTCCTCTCCAGGTATCCAGCCTGTGTGGGGCAGAAGTGTCGGACTCGGCCCTTGGAAAAGATTTTGCACTTTTAGCTTCACAAACCAACTTAAAATTTTTTCCGTTATTATGCCACTGTACAACTAAAATGAAAGAATTTGTTAGCGCCTTTTTAAGGGTCATATTTGCCTACATTTAGCCAATGAATATATTGAAAATGATTTCAAGGGAATTTGGGGACTTTTGTTTTCTTTCCCCTTTAGTAAGTTAGAGGAAAGTTTTCTCTCACAGCAGAAGTGTGACAAACCCCACCTGTCAGGCTGCACAAAATATGCTCTTGACAGTAAGTGAATAACATGATTCATAACTAAATAAAGCAAACAACTGTCAGAATAACCACATTCAGGTTTCTGTACTTTGGTAGCAAAACTAATCTTAAGCTGTGGTGCTGTTGTTTAAGAAAGCAGGTTTGTTTTACGTTTTGTTAGTTTTTTTCCCCTTTCCTTAAATCTAATGGATATGTGTGACAGAAGCACTAGCACCAGAGAAATTGTTTTCCAATACAGAGTCTACCAAGGTGTAGGCATAGGCAACTGCCCAGGATTTGTGTATAAATTGGGACTGGAGGGGCTGGCCCTGTGGCCGAGTGGTTAAGTTTGCACGCTCTGCTGCAGCAGCCCAGGGTTTCACTGGTTTGGATCCTGGCCGCAGACATGACACCACTCGTCGGGCCACGTTGAGGTGGCGTCCCACGTGCCACAGCTGGAAGTTCCCACAACTAAAATATACAACTATGTACTGGGGGGATTTGGGGAGAAAAAGCAGAAAGGAAAAAAAGAAGAAGATTGGCAACAGTTGTTAGCTCAGGTGCCAATCTTAAAAAAAAAATACCAACTCAAAAAAACAGTAAAAATAAAAAAATAAATTGGGACTGGAACCTGTCAGTCAGACAAAAAAAATATATAGTAAAAAGGTATGTGAGCCACTGTAGGAGTTAGAACTGGACAGTCAGTAAGGCAACCAATCATTGAGTTTTCTAGTCACATACATTCTATGGAGGGTGTTGTGATTTCCTCACTGGTCCTCTTGAGTCTGCATTTTAGAATCAGAAAGTGCTCACCTCTGGGCTCCACCACTTGCTAACTTCCCCATCCCTTGGGAGTGGTTCTAAACCTCTCATCATGGTCTATAAATAGGGAGGATAATAGTATCTGTCATTTGGGTTAGTGCAAAGATTAAATAAGATGTAATTTAAGGGGCCAGCCCTGTGGCTCAGTGGTTAAGTGTGCACATTTCACTTCATCAGCCCGGGGTTCACGGGTTCAGATCCCAGGTGTGAACATGGTACCGCTTGGCAAGCCATGCTGTGGCAGGCATCCCACATATAAAGTAGAGGAAGATGGGCACGGATGTTAGCTCAGGGCCAGTCTTCCTCAGCAAAAAGAGGAGGATTGGCAGCAGATGTTTGCTCAGGGCTAATCTTCCAAAAAGAGCGATGTAATTTAAATGCATGTAAAGCGCTTAATGCTCAACTGGTTATACGCATTCATTAAATGATAGCTATTCTTAAAATTATTATTCTTTAATCTAGTCTTGTTCCCTTACTGTTTTTCTTCCATGCATGTGTTCACACATCCTTTCTAAACAGAAATATGATCGTGCCATGTCATGTCCTTGCTCATAACTTTTCAGCGATTACCGAACACCTATAAGAGATAATCCAAACTCTATAGCAGGGCATTAAATTAGGTTCTTCATTCTCTGGCTCTTGTCATCCTTTTCAGCATTCTCTCTCCCATATCCATTCTCTGTTTCAACCATAACTGCATAACACTATCTTCTCACATATCCTCCCCATTGACTGGAATAGTTTTCCCCTTGGTATCTAAGAAAACTGTCCATTCCTCTTACTCCCCAGAAGTCTTCAGCAGTCTTCTCCTTTGCTACCCACCCCCTCCCAAAGCAGAATTGTGTACTTTCTCCTTTCAGTTGGTAACAACTGTTACCAACTCTTTTAGCACTTATGACGTTATTTATTTATAACTCTATGTCTGACTTCCCTCTGCACTGGGTATTCTTTGTGGGCCGGGACTCTATTCATCACTGTGTCCCCAGTGCCTAGTAAAAGAAGGCTTTCTTTTTATGATGGTTGGTTTTATGTGCTGCCGTCCCACTGCAAAACTAGGATTTTATATACCTCAAGAAGAATTCTGCAGTGTTCATTTTTTTCTTTGAATAAATTTGAGATACTTCACAGATAGTTTTTGGTGTTGAGTCTTAAAAAGGCTAATGCATTTAATTATATATTACCCTAAAACCACTTCAATTAAGTCTGTTGTTTTCTTAGTTTTTATTGTTTTTAAAATGTGGCCAGTATGACATTATTGCTGAGAATGGTCATTGAGGAGTGCAGTAAATTTCATTTGTATCTTGCTGTTTTGAAATTTTCTTTCTAGTTCAGCTCCCCGGCCCAGCACCTAACATCCGAGCATATGCAACTTCACCTACTTCTATCACTGTCACCTGGGAAACACCGTTGTCTGGCAATGGGGAAATTCAGAATTACAAATTGTACTACATGGAAAAAGGGACTGATAAAGAACAGGTATAAGATGAAGCCATTTTTCAACCCATTGATTGGAATAGTAAAGTTGAAATATGTTTCCAAAACTCAATACCTGTAGTCTTAGGGAAAAAAAAGATCTATAGGAAATGGAAAGTTGACAGATTCTATTTCTTTGTACCAACATTTATTCTGTAGTTTCTGTCAGCATGGGTCACTAAACATCAAGCAGTATTTCTCAGTAAATTGCCAGTGTTTATGATTAATCTGCTTTGACTGTTAAATAACATTCTGTAAAGGGATAAAAATCTGCATTGTGTCAAATATAGAATTTGTATAGTTAATTATTTTGCAGCATTTCTTTTGGCTTTCGTTGTGTATATAATTGTTTTATTTTGTTCAAGGATGTTGACGTTTCAAGTCACTCCCACACCATTAATGGGTTGAAAAAATATACAGAGTATAGTTTCCGAGTGGTGGCCTACAATAAACATGGTCCTGGAGTCTCCACGCAAGATGTTGCTGTTCGAACATTGTCAGATGGTGAGTCTTTCTTCCTCGGGAACAAAATCTCTTGCTTGGGGGCCCTGGTGGCGTAGTGGTAAGATCATGGGCTTTGCTGTCAAGAAGATTCAGTTCAAATCCCAGCTCTGCCCCTTACTGGTGGTGTGACTTTGGTCAAGTCAGTTAACATGTCTGAGCGTGTTTCTTTACGTGTAAAATGTAGATAAACCAACTTCATTGTGTTGCTGTAAAGACTTAGTGAGAGAGCATAGAACATGTAGTGCCTGATACTGAATATCTTCTCAGTGTTTTTATTTTTAGTAGGGGCTTTTGTATAAGTAAATATTATTGCTTCTTCATAACACAGACCATTCCAGGACTGTTGGAAGGCTAGCCTTGCTCTACTTAGCAACCATGTTTGTATGCCAAATAGATCCTTTTAATTCCCAGTCATTTGTGGCAGTTTCATTTCTCGCTTGTGATTGAATTTCTAAGCCAAGTTATATGCGTATACCCATGATCTGGAGCAGTATTTTTCAAACTACAGCTTGCCAGAGATATTGAGTGAGTCAAGACCGGCATTTTTTAAAAAATATTTTCAGAATAGAACAGAAAATAACAGAGTTCATTGCACTTTAGTAAGTATATGTATTGTTTCATGAAACTCAGCTAAATCCAACTTGTTACAAAAATGTCATTTTTTAAAACTGTGTGTGTATGTATATATAGCCCTTATATATATACAGGCATGCTTTAGAAGCTGTGGTTTGACTTCTTGAAGTAAATGGTCAACCATAATAATGGTCACACTAATAAAGGAGCAGACTGACATCATGTGCCTCCTGATGTGATGCATTGAGAAAGACGTAACTTCACCTGTTTCATCTATGTTGTATCCCTGCCAAAAATGTTTAACTTGAATCTGACCATGATGAAACCATGAGACATCCCAAAATTGAGGGAAATTCTGCAAAATAAATAAATAAACCACCTGAATTCTTAAAAAATATTAGCCTTATGAAAGGAAAAATAAAAGATTGAGGAATCATTCTAGAATCTAGATTAAAGAGAAGTAAAGACACATGAAATAAAATAAAACATGTACGATCTTTGACTTGTTCCTGGATCTGGGAGTAAAAACAGCTATGAAGGACACTATGTATTGGTACAATTACTTTATGTTAGATATAGATAATGTTAGGCAATTTTAAATATTAGCTATGTTATTAGATATATTAGATACTATTTTTGTATTAAGATTAAATTTTCTGAATGTGATCATTGTATTATAGGTCTCTGGGAGAATGTCCTTGTTCTTAGGCAATACGTACTGTAGTATTTAGGAGTGAAGTATCATGATGACTGCAACTCTCGCAGATGATGCAGAAAGAATATGTAGATAGATAAATATGTGTGTATAAATATAATAAGAGAAATAAAGCATATGTGACAGAATTGGTGAATCCAATTGATTCCACCAAAAGAATATATGGTGTTCACCATTTTATTCTTGCCTCTCTTTTCTGTGTGCTTGACATTTTTCAGGATAAGAAGTTGGGAAAAATAAATATGAACTAGAGTTTGGTTAGACAACTACATAAGCCAGTTGGTCAAAAGTTTTGAGAACAGTTGAGGGAACAAGTGTTTACTGTAGGCTTTTAAATCTACACATGAGCCAATTTTTACTGTGCTAAGTGGGTTGGCATGCTGACTCCAGTGCCTGTCACTGGAACTGAATGTGTCTTAGCCTGGTGCTTAAGAGAGCACTTTGGAGTGAGGTGAGCTTGGTTCCTGTGCCAGGTGAAACAAATATCTTGGGCATGTTAACTGCCCTGAACCTCATCTATAGTTTTGTCATCTATAAAATGAGAATAATTACGGAAACTCCCTTGGTATGATTGTTGTAAGGATTAAGTACCCACCGTGTAGGAGTATGCAGCAGATCTTAGCAATGGTAATGATGATGAAGACAGAAACAACAACTGTGTTGGGTGCCCCTGCACCTAAGTGAGAGGTTCTTAACGGGGATAGTAGGAACCATTCATGAACTTTTTTCAAAACACATGTGTCTAAGTTGTACTCCAGACCCTCTGTGCCTGGATCTCTGGATTGAGGCCTGAAGCACTTTGTTAGCAGAAGATACAACATTGAGCGAGGAATAGTCTCTGTCCTCCAGAAGCCTGTAGCACAATGGGCACTTAGTTATATACCTGGTCACCAAATGTCAGAAAAAGAGAGAAAGAAGTTTCTGTGGATGGATTAGGAGAGGAGAGCTAAAGTCAACATTTTGTAGGTAGAGAAGAAACTGATTAAGTTTACGTAAATTTTCTTTGCTTGCTATAGTTACTACAGAGGGGGATGTTGGAGAGTGTATGGACCATAAACTTTGAGATACCCCTGTCTTATGTTCTAATATGTGAGAAACTAAAGTTATGCAGCTGTTTATTTAGCCCGGAGTCCCAAACTTCTCACATCTAATTGAGCATTCCGATGTATAGTTGGCTTGTGAAGTCACGTGGTCACTTTACTGAAGCTGTCATTGCTTAAATATCTCTTTGCTGCACTTGGGAACTGCCTTCAAAACTGGTTTAAGAACCGCACAAGAAAGCCTAGCTCACTGATTTATGTATGTCACATTTTGGACTCATAATGACATTACCCGGTTCATTCACTTGCCGTATCCATTAGACTTGTTTCCAGAACATTTGTGGCTCTTCCCTAAGATAAAGATATGCTATCACCAGGAATATTCAGAAGAGTGCATTGAAGGGTCGCAGTGTATCTGGGATCTAGAAAAGTTAAAAGTACAACCTGGCTTGAGTATGGGTGCATTTATATGAATGTCTCATTTTTTTAAATGAATCAAACACGACCACACCTTATCCACATACTGTTATCAACATGAAGGCACTGGCAGCTTGGTTTAGACCTTCAGGTTGCATAATCAGTGTTTGAGATATGCATTTGGGTAGAGTCTGGCCAATAACAAGCACATGAGGGTGATATGTAGGTAACTGAAAAATTTTTTTTCTCCCCATCCAGTTCCCAGTGCTGCTCCTCAGAATCTGTCCTTAGAAGTAAGGAATTCAAAGGTAAAACTTTATCTTGTCATTGTTCATTTTTACTGTTGTACTGTTCAACCTCAGAAGGGCTTACCAAGAGGGAGATTCTATATCAAAACAATCATAATCAAGCAGAGAAGTAAGGTGACATGGATGGTACACTTGCTGGTAAAGCAGGGTTTAGAAACCAACTCCGGTTTATTCTGTTTAACTTTACTGCTTTTCTGTGAAGCAAAAATTACTTTAGCCTTTCTGCAAATATATTGCCATTAGTATGTAAACCATGACATTCTAGATCTTAGCATTACAGAGCCTTGGCAATGAAGTAGGAAGAAGTAAGTTGTTTATGATACCTTAGTATCATAACTTAGTACTGTGAGATGAGCCCAGTGTGAATCAAAGGCAGACATCTGTCAGATGGCTTTAAAATTAAAAAGTATTTTTGAGTGGTTATTAAATAACTTAGCGAACTCTGACCTGAGCACCCTGCTGCCTTTATTTTTGTTCTCTTTACAAGGTGAATTTAAGGTAATAACACATAAAATAGTGAGAACTAAGCTTTCAATATATTCAATCTTTTCCCTATAATCTTGTCTTTTCCCAGAGTATTATGATTCACTGGCAGCCACCTCCTCCAGCCACACAAAATGGGCAGATTACTGGCTACAAGATTCGCTACCGAAAGGCCTCCAGAAAGAGTGATGTCACTGAGACCTTGGTAACTGGGACACAGCTGTCTCAGCTGATTGAAGGTAAGCTGCTTTGCACATAGGCAAAAGCTAGGAGATGCTGTCTTTCTCAGACATTGAATTGTGCTAGTCTACTGACTACCCTCAGCTGTTGACCTATACAAAGTGAAAATGGTTCAAAAGAGTTTGTATGGTTCAGTCTGCTTCTGACTTGATAAAAATTAATGGAAAACACTCCTACAGGTTTTGCCATCTCTGGGTGGTGAGATTGTGTTTGAGTTTTATTTCCTTACTTGTCTTTTTCTGTATTCTCCCCGTTTTCTTTTTTGAATATATATATTACTTTTTTGTGATCTATAAAAAGGTAAAACAAAGCTGTATAAGCAAAGAATCTACTCAGTCTGGTTGGTAGCAGAGGTTTACAAAATTATTTTTCTAACACTGACACCACTTGTTTATATGCAGCCTGAAACAACATTTGTGAATAGCTATAGCAATGTAATAATCATTCTTACTACTATGGACATGATAAAGTTTTAGAAAATTCTCTCAAGGATAGCTTGTTTTGAATAGTTTTCCCTTTATATGCAACAGAGAAGTGGCTTACCTGGTAAAAATGGACCCAAATGCATCTCTAATATGCATTCCCCCTACAGATGGCAGAGTACCCTCCTCTTCCTTGCTCAGGTAGGAGAAGTGGAGTTGGCTTAGCAAGAAGCGTGGGAGGGGCATGGGCAAGTTGGCTCTGCAGGAGAAGCATGGGAGGAAGCTGAAGTGCTGTTGCTCTTTGGATATTGGGACCGTGCTTACAAAGAATAGAGACAGATGCCCCTAACAAACCCTTTTGGGGGTTCCTAGTAGAGCTGGAGGAAGAAAGATATAAGAATGGAGGTCTTGTCATTATTATAAAAGCCTGGAGAATTAATTCATCATCCGTGGGGAACTATAAACTTTCCTGACATTGCTTCCCTCCTGGGCAGACATTGAAAGGATTAGAGAAGGTTGATGTCAACCACTTGGCTCTGCTCCCAGGGGCCAGGTTCTTAATAGAACCAAGATCTGGAGTCAAAAAGTGTAATGGGTCTTCCCTTCTTTATAGATATGAATTTCTGAAAATTAAGAGAGCTGCTGACAGTGGAAAACTGTCCTCTAGTAATCCAGCAAGCTTTTTTCCTTACTCCTCACCTCGCAGATGGGATTAAATTCCTTCAAAATAGGAGAAGGTGAATATTTGTCTCCAAGGGTACCTTTCAGTCTTTTGGGTTCTTCACATGAACCCCCATAGCTCTGAGCTGCAGCAAGTAAAGATGGCTGCAGTGGGTGTTGCTGAGAAATCGCACTAAAGGAGGATTATGGTAAAACTGGTCACAGATGTTCTTAAAAGTCAGTTTCTGATTTTATTCCAAATGCAGATAAATAACATTTCCCATCTGTAAGGCTTTTATTTTGAATATTTAATAGTAGATATTTACTGTATACCAGGTACTGTTCTTGTTGCTAATAATATAGAAATATAGTACAGTCCTTGCCCATGAGGAGACTATTCATTTTCTCAATGAAACGTTTGCTATGTAAGCAAAATACCACTTTCATGGTAAAAGTAACTTTTTCTTCACAAAGAAAATTCTTGCATTTTAAAATCATATTTAGATTCATTCGTTTAACAGACTTGATTGAAGTTTAGCATGTTCTGGTCCCAGGATGCTCACATGCTCTGTCTCTCGCTCTCGCTCTCTCGCTCTCTCACATTCTAATTCTCACCAAAAGGGGAGGGAATGATAATCTGGCTAAATTCTTTTAGGACCTCAATTGAGCCATGTTTGCTAGTGGTCCAGGTTGTTGTCTGTTAACCATTATAAATACATGTACAGCCCACTCTGGCACTTTCTGGTTCATTGTATGCAAGGAAGAGACAGGGAGGTAAACTGACTTGGGCCCAGCCATTTTGTTTCTCTTTCTGTCTTGCTTCTTGCTTTCTTGTGGGCAAACAGATTCAGGATGGGCCTGCAGAGAACCCAACCTCCCATCTCTCCTCTCACACCATGTGACAGGGTTAATTAACTGAGCCAGGGCTCATCCTGCCTCCTGGCCAAGTTCTCTCAATAGCTCTCTCTTTGGAGTTTCTATACCATACTGCTGGCCAAAGATCCCAATATTTGGATGTGGGGAGGTAGGATAATTTTTCATAACCCTTCCAAAGCCTATCACAGTATCTAGTATTTAAGTGCCCTAAAAATGTATGCATGTGAACTGTACATTTAAAAATGGTTAAGATGGTAAATTTTGTTACATGTCTTTTAGCACAATAAGAAAGAACAAAATGGACACATGAATATATGAATAGCTGACCATATTATTGACTGTTGCCCTACTTTGTAGGGCAGACTTTTACATGTGGATCTTTGTTGCCATCAATATATGGGTAAATCATGTACTTTATTAGCTGATAGTAAATATGAAAGGTTGCATAATAGAGAGGCCTTTTTCCTCTTTTGTTTATTGTACATACTTGTGGGCTGTTGAGAAATAGATTTCTAGGCCATATTTGGTGTTTAAAGTTTTTCTGCTGTCGTTATGGGGTAACTTAGAGAACAGAGGTAACTGGTAGGAGATCATGTCTTTGCATTCTTTTCTAGTCTTGCGTGTCTTCTCAGACCAACTGACTTTATTCCTTTGTTATAACTCTTTCATTATCCTTGGCCTCTTGTTGGCTTTAGCTTCCTTAGTAACAAAATGAAGGGATTGCTTTAAGTGATCTCTAAGGTGCCTTCCAGCTCTTAAAAAAAATTCTGTAATCCCCTGGGAGCATTGCTCATTTCTCTCCTCCAGGCTTGAGTGGGCTTCAGCCTCTACCTGAGAGCTGGGAGCTCCTCTCTGCTGTGTTTGTGTGCTGCTTGTTCTGTAGCGACTTTAACTGAAACTTTATCAGGATACTAGCTACACACTGAGTTGGTAGATGAGATATTTGCTCTAATCAAAGACTGTTAATCTTTTGTTTTTCCAAAGCTCTTGTTTCAGTTTGTCTTTCTTTGTCACTTGGGTCTCAGGTCTTGATCGGGGGACTGAATATAATTTCCGAGTGGCCGCTCTAACGATCAATGGTACAGGCCCCGCTACTGACTGGCTTTCTGCTGAAACTTTTGAAAGTGACTTGGATGGTAAGAACAACAATTGGCAGAATTGGCACAGGCTAGGTACTAACTGTGGTCAAATGAGTCAAACTGGAAAGCCACAGATTTGGGGTGTATATGGCTTAAATCTGTGAACTTTAATACTGCAGTCATTTCTGGAATGCAGCAAGTCTTCTGGAATGTGTTTTTTTGTTTGTTTGGGTTTTTTGCAGTGGCTTTTAGAGAAGTGCCCCTTTAAGCAGAACCAGAACAAATGGAAATATATAGGTGCTTTAAAAAGTCTGTTTTTCAGGCCAGCCCAGTGGCACAGCAGTTAAGTTCGCATGTTCCACTTCCGTGGCCCAGGGTTCGCCAGTTCAGATCCCAGGTGTGGACATGGCACCGTTTGTCAAGCCATGCTGTGGTAGGCGTCCCACATATAAAGTAGAGGAAGATGGGCACGGATGTTAGCTCATGGCCAGTCTTCCTCAGCAAAAAAGAGGAGGATTGGTGGCAGATGTTAGCTCAGGGCTAATCTTCCTCAAACAAAAAGTCTTTTTTCTACCAAAGCCATTAAGTAAATGGATAATCTAAAATTTAAGACTGCACCACATAAATTGTGCTTTTGTTTCAGTGGCAGTTTCCCTTAGTCCTGGACACCTTGCCCTTTTTCTCACCTGTTTATCCAGTGAGTCACTCCACATGGGTGTGTGTGTATCTTTATCAGAGACAGGTGCTGCACTCCAGAGACAGAGACCTGGGTCCTTATTCTAATTCTTGGTTTACTAGCTTTTAAATGAAGATAGCAATTTATGGCTTACAATAATGTACTTGAAAGATACTGTAAATTGCCACCTTTTTAAACCTCTTAGTCTCCTACCATTTAAATCAATTGTGCTTCTAAAATTTCATATTTTCTGGCTTATCGTAGTACTTAGGGGAGTAAATAACTGATCCCATTGTGGTAGTGTGATACCTGATCACCTGTGACAACAGGCCTCTGATCAGTTGGTGTTATGTCTTTCACATTCCACCTGGTAGAGTTTGGGAGTCAAATGTGAGAGCAGTAGGAGTGGGTAACTATTGAAAGGCAGTTTATTTGTTTTTCTCCATTGGGTCAAGGTTCTTGAATCTCTTTGTCCTCCCTTCCAAATTAATATTGTAATGTCTTATATTTCAGGCCTTTGAGTTTTGTTTTTTCTTAGACGGCAGTAAAATCATAGGCCATACTTCACTAGACGTACAAATTCTCTTTGAATTCTTGGGCATAATGAAAAAAACTTAGCCCCAAATAATTTGGCAGCAGGCTGAACACCATTCCCCAAGGACTGTGAAATATTCTAGGAGGGCAAATCTCATCTTGATTTTCTACTTTCCTTCCCAGAAACTCGTGTTCCTGATGTGCCCAGTTCTCTTCATGTCCGCCCACTTGTCACTAGCATCGTAGTAAGCTGGACTCCTCCAGAGAATCAGAACATTGTGGTCAGAGGTTATGCTATTGGCTATGGCATTGGCAGCCCTCATGCCCAGACCATCAAAGTGGACTATAAACAGCGCTATTACACCATCGAAAATCTGGGTATGTATGCTAAGTAGAGGAAGTGATTGCACATGTGATTTCTTTCTTTTTAACTTTTTCTTGTGTAATAATTTTGTTTTTATAGAAAAATAGTGCAAAGAATTCCTATATGTCCTTCACCCAGATCCCCCAAAGGTTAACATTTTACCACCTGTGCTTTATCATTCTCTATCTTCCTGTAAGTACATGTTTTTTTCCTGAACTATTTGAGGGTAAGTTGCAGGCATGATGTCCTGCTAGTCACTAATACTTTGTTTATTTGTTTTTTCTTTTCTTTTCTTTTTTTTTTTTTTTGAGGAACATTAGCCCTGAACTAACATCTGCTGCTAAATTCTCCTCTTTTTGCTGAGGAAGCCTGGCCCTGAGCTAACATCCGTGCCCATCTTCCTCTACTTTATATGTGGGACTCTTGCCAAGTGGACACATGCCAAGTAGTGCCATGTCTGCACCTGGCATCCGAACCAGCGAACCCCGGGCTCTCAAAACAGATCATGCTCACTTAACCACTGTGCCAGCAGGCTGGCCGCATCACTAGTACTTTACTCTGTGTTTCCTAAAAACAGTTATCAAAATCAGCAAATTAACACTAAGACTACAAACTTTATTTATATTTTACTAGTCGTCTCATTACTGGCCTTTATAGCAAAAGAAAAACGTTGTTTTCTGGTCCCGGATCTCATGTTGCATTTAGTTATTGTGTCCCGTTAGGTTTTTTTTGTTGTTTTTTTTGAGGAAGATCAGCCCTGAGCTAACATCTGTTACCAATCCTCCTCTTTTTGCTGAGGAAGACTGGCCCTGAGCTAACATCCGTGCCCGTCTTCCTCTACTTTATATGTGGGACGCCTACCACAGCATGGCTTGCCAAGTGGTGCCATGTCTGCACCCGGGATCCAGGCAGCTGAAGCAGAATGTGCACATGTAACCGCTGTGCCACCAGGCCGACCCCCCATTAGTTTTTTTGATATGGAACAGTTCCGTGGTTTTTTTATTGGCTTTATGACTATGATGTTTTTAAAAAATATAGACCATTTATATTTTGTAGAATGTCCCTCAATTTAGACTTGTCTAATATTTCCTCATTAGATTGAGCGTAAGCGTTTTTGGAAGGAAATAACATATGTGTTCTTGTAGCATCATATCAGGAGGCACATGAAAGCTCTTGCTAGTGATGTTAACTTTAATCACTTGGTTACAACAGTCTCTGTCACATTTCTCCACTATAAAGTTATTTTTTTCCTTCATAATTAATAAGTACCTTGTGGGGGAATACTTTGAGTCTTTGTAAATATTTTGTTTCTCATCAAACTTTCACTTGCTAGTTTTATCATCTTTAGCAACAGTTATAACTATGGTGTTTCCCAAGTGGTAATTTTCTAATCCCATTATTTCTTCTACATTTATTAGCATAAGATAAGAGCTTGCCTTCTCTTTCATAGTGAAAGAATGGCCAATGGTAGTCTCTTTATAACTAGTTCCTCTGTCCATTTGACATCTCTCATCTTTCTTTGAGCACTTTCTTCCTTTTTGACACAGTAAGATGTTTTAGGCTCATCTGGTATTTTTCTAGCCTTAGCTCTTGAATGAGTCATTTCTCCAAAAACCCTGGTTTCTTTTATAGAAAATGATATTTAGAAACCAATATCTGAGCAGTATACATGCTCATTGTTACTGGTAGAAAATCTTATGGAATCTATAAAAAGGCTACTAAACCTATGAGTGAGTTTAGCAAGGTCACAAGATATAAAGTCTACATACAGAAGCATTTGTATTCCATATACTAACAATAAGCAGTTGAAAATTGGAATTAAAATAACAGTGCCATTTTGATGATCCATAGCATCAAAAAATATGAAGTCCTGGGGCCGGCCTGTGGCATAGTGGATAGGGTCATACTCTCTGCTTCAGTGGCCCAGGGTTCTCAGGTTCGGATCCCAGATGTGGACCTACACACTACTCATCAAGCCATGCTGTGGTGGCATCCCAAATACGAGATAGAGGAGGATTGGCACAGATGTTAGCTCAGGGGCAATCTTCCTCAAGCAAAAGAGGAAGATTGGCAACAAATGCTAACTCAGGACCAATCTTCCCCACCAAAAAACAAAAAAGTAGTACTTAGGGATAAACTGTAAAAATTTGTACAGTCTGTACACTGAAAAGTAAAAAATTATTCTGAGAAAAATTCAAGAAGACTTAAATGGAGATACCAGGCTCAGGGATTGGAAGACAGTATTATTAAAATGACACTTGCCTCTACTACAAATCCCAAGTCCCGATAGACTTTTTTATGAAATTGATAAACTTATTCTAAAATTTATATGAAAAACCAAAGGAACTAGAATAGCCAAAAAAAAATTTTTTTGAGGAAGATTAGCTCTCAGCTAACATCTGCCACCAATCCTCTTTTTTTTTCTTTTTTTTTGCTGAGGAAGACTGGCCCTGAGCTAACATCCGTGCCCATCTTCCTCTACTTTGTATGTGGGATGCCTGCCACAGCATGGCTTGACAAACGATGCATAGGTCTGCACCTCAGATCCAAACCAGTGAGGCCCGGGCCACCAAAGTGGAACATGCGAACCTAACTGCTGCACCACTGGGCCAAAAATTTTTGAAAAGAAGAGTTAAGTTTAGAAGACCCAGACTATCTGATTTCAGGACTTATTATAAAGCCACAGTAATTGAGACATTGTGGTAGTATTAGTGTAAAGGTAGGTGTTATAGATGAGTGGAACAGAGTAGAGTTCCAAAATAGATCCATGTGTATATGGCCAATTGATTTTTTTTTTTTTTTTAAAGATTTTATTTTTTCCTTTTTCTCCCCAGTGCCCCCGGTACATAGTTGTATATTCTTCGTTGTGGGTTCCTCCAGTTGTGGTATGTGGGACGCTGCCTCAGCGTGGTTTGATGAGCAGTGCCCTGTCCGCGCCCAGGATTCGAACCAACGAAACACTGGGCCGCCTGCAGCGGAGCATGCGAACTTAACCACTCGGCCACGGGGCCAGCCCCATGGTCAATTGATTTTTGACAAAAAATACTCAGAATTCAGTGGAGAGAGGATAGTATTTTCAACAAAGATGTGGAAATAACTGGATGTCTGTATGAGAAAGAAAAGGAACCTTCCTTGATCCTTATCTCACACCATTCACAAAAACAGACCTAAATGCAAGAGCTAAAACTGCAAAACTTCTAGAAGAAAACAAGAACAAATCTTCATGACTTTGGGATTGTCAAAGGATACAAAAAAGCACAAATTATAAAATTTTAAAAGATTAATAAATTGGACTTGATTCTCAACATCATTGATCATCAGAGAAATGCAATGGAATACCACTACACATCCTCCAGAACTGCTAAAATTTAATAGACTGCCAACACCAGATATCAGCAAGGATGCAGAATTGGAACTCAAGGATGCAGATCTGGAAGCTGGTGGGAATGTCTGATGTTACAACCACTTTAGAAGACAGTTTGGAAGTTTCTTAAAAAGTTGACCATACAGGGGCCGGCCCGGTGGCGCAGCGGTTAAGTTCGCACGTTCCGCTTCTCGGCGGCCCGGGGTTCGCTGGTTCAGATCCCAGGTGCGGACATGGCACTGCTTGGCAGCCATGCTGTGGTAGGCGTCCCACATATAAACTAGAGGAAGATGGGCACGGATGTTAGCTCAGAGCCAGGCTTCCTCAGCAAAAAGAGGAGGACTGGCAGTAGTTAGCTGAGGGCTAATCTTCCTCCAAAAAAAAAAAAAATAGTTGACCATACAATCCAACATTCCCACTAATAGATATTTAACCAAGAGAAATAAAAGCACACATTGACACAAAGAGTTGTACGCAAATGTTCATAATAGCTTTATTTATGATAGTCTAAAAGGGGTCAAGAAGTAAATGGTAAATTGTACTGTATCCGTCTAATGGAATGATACTCAGCACTTAAAAGGAATAGGCCGTGGATACACACAGCTGTGTAATGAATCTCACAAACATGCTGAGCAAAAGAAGCTGAACACAAGAGAGTACATACTGTGTTATTATGTTTTTATGAAATTATAAAATAGGCAGCACTTATCTGTAGGGACAAAGCAAGATCACTGGTTGCCTAGAAATGGGTAGGGGGAATTGACTGCAGGGAGCACAAGGGAACTATATGGAGTGTTGGGAATATTCTGTATCTTGATTGTGGTAGTGGTTACACAGGCATACATGTTTGTCAAAATTCAACAAAACTGTACACTTAACAGGTACGTTTTGCTGTATGCTAATTATACCTCAAAGCTGATTTACAAAGCAAAAAAGACTTTGAGAAATAGTAATATTTTATAATAGAAAGTGAATTGATTTGGGTAGGTATAATTACTTTTCCAAATTAGATTTTCATTATAGAGATCTTTTTTGAAAGACTTGTGTTTTAATTCAGAATCTGCCCTGACCAACTTTTTTATTGAATCATTTTTTCTGATTATTCTTCCCTAAGAACAACTTTAGGCGTCTAACAAATGAATAACCTTTGTCTTTTCTGCTAGAAAATAAGCGGCAGTTTAATGTTTATTCAAAAACAAAGTAGCCTTTCTCTTTTTCCTTTTAATAAGAAACAGCATGGCTAACCTAGAAAGTGTTCCCACATCAGCGTTCTTATAAGGCACTTGTAGGAGGGCAAGAGAAATGCTTTGCTGGGGCCGGCCTGGTGGTGTAGTGGTTAAGTTGGCACACTCCATCCACTTCAGCGGCCCGGGGTTTGCAGGTTTGGATCTCCAGTGTGGACCTAGCACCTCTCGTCAAGCCATGCTGAGGTGGCATCCCACATAAAGTAGAGGAAGATTGGCACAGCTGTTATTTCAGGAACAATATTCCTCACAAAAAAAAGAAAAGCTTGCTAGTAGGATAAAAATGTCTCCGTGCTGACCCACCTCCTACTGTTTCCTTTATGAAATTACTGAAATGAAAATCCTCTGCAGCGTAGGTGGTACATTGTCCTTGAACTCCATGTGCTTTCAGTCTAATAGAACAAAA